GGGCTGAAATATGTGAAAATAAATCAACATTTTTGACTTTGTTCATAAATTCAACGTGTTGTTTTGTGAGGAAGGAAAAGACATGTTCAACATGATTCAAGATGCCCAGTTCGTTTACATGTTGAATGCCTTGTAGGGGATGTGTTTGAAAATCTATATAGCACTAACTACATGTGTCAACTGTTCGTATAATATATGTTGAACCTATTGCTTTGCAGGGCTGATGGAATGTAAGTTTATGCCCCTCTCTTACGCGCTATATGTTCTGACATAGTTTAGTTTACGACATTCCATCTGGAAGTATTTATGGCAAATATATTCTGATATTCTATCTGACATTCTTTCTGGCATTGTATCTGACGTATATTCTGCCATTCTGTTTGTTCGGGTCCAGGCGCGCTCCACAGCTTCCTGAGCGCGCGATATGGCTGTCGGGTCCAGGCATCCTGATCTCGCGGCATGGCACTCAGGTCGAGCCGCACTCCACTGCATCCACAGCCGGCGAGGAAGAAGAGAAGGAGAGGAAGGAGAGGAAGGAGAGGAAGGAGAGGAAGGAGAGGAAGAAGAGGAAGAAGAGGAAGGAGTCGCATCTTTGTTAAAATCTAGAAACCTTCACCTGGCAGGTGGGGAAAAAGAACTCAAGATAGAAGTTTTGTTCTGCTTTCAAATGTATTGTTTTGTGGAGGTTTTGGGGGTGCAAAAAATTGACATAATGTGTTCAATATTCAAGGCAATAATATGCAGGGGAGGAAAAAACATTTTAAACATCACTCAAGGTGCCAAGTTGGTTTAATATGTTGAATGTATTGCCTTGTAGGGTCGAGGGGCGGGTAAATTTTAGAAATGACTTGAGATGACAATTTTGTTGGTTCAACATATTGTTTTGTAACGTCGGAAGCGCAAAAAATCTTGATGACGCGGACTCGACATGTCAATTTACTTCATTTGTTCAACATATTGAAAGGTCGAGGGGGGTATATTTCAAAAATGACCCAAGATGCCAAGTTGGGTCATATGTTGAATGTAGCGGTTTGTACAGGGCAGGAGGAAGGGGATGAAATCATAATAATGACCCAAAATGCCAACTATGATCACATGCTCAAGGTATTGCAGCGTAGGGTCACGGAATTGTAAATGTCGAAAGCCCATTCTTTGGTGTGTTCGAGGTATTGTTTTTCAGGGGAAGGACAGGAGTTCAAAATATAAAGATGACGTGACATTTCTACTTTGTTCATATATTCAACGTGTTGGTTTGCAAAGGTAGGGAAAGGACCTGTTAAACATGGCTCGAGATGGCTTGTTCATGCTGAACGATGTTGAACGTTGTGTTTTGTAGGGGCCAGAATGTATATATTGCTTGGTTGGGTCCAATTTCAATCATGACTCACGATGCCAACTTTCTTCATCTGTTCAACGTATTGTCTTGTTGTAGGGGAAGGAAAAGACATTTCAAACATGACTCAAGATGCCAAGTTGGTTCATATGTTGAACATAGTGTTTGTGTGGAGAAGGGACTAAATATTATGATAATGACTAGCAGAATGACTCGACAGGTCAACTTGCTTCATATGTTGAACGTGTTGTGTTGTAGGGCCGAGGGAGGTAGATAAAACATGGCTCAAGATAAATCAAAATGACAAGTTTGGGGTTGGTCGGACAAGGTCGGAGTAAAACGACACAAATGAAATCTGGAGTTAGTTTCTAAACTCCTGTTCGGAACCCTGCGGCATCTTCGGGCGTCTTCGGCGTCTTCTTCGTCTTCGGGCGTCTTCGGCGTCTTCAGGCATCTTCGGCGTCTTCGGGCGTCTTCGGCGTCTTCGGGCGTCTTCGGCGTCTGCGGGCGTCTTCGGCGTCTTCGGCGTCTTCGGGCGTCTTCGGCGTCTTCGGCGTCTTCTTCGTCTTCGGGCGTCTTCGGGCGGCATCTTCGGCGTCTTCGGGCGTCTTCGGCGTCTTCGGGCGTCTTCGGCGTCTGCGGGCGTCTTCGGCGTCTTCGGGCGTCTTCGGGCGTCTTCGGCGTCTTCGGGCGTCTTCGGCGTCTTCGGGCGTCTTCGGCGTCTTCGGGCGTCTTCGGGCGTCTGCGGCGTCTGCGGCGTCTTCGGCGTCTTCGGCCCGAAGTTGGGGCACCTCTACTGCCATCAATGAATCTTCAGCTGGTCCAGGTTCATCAACGGAAATGGGAATTTGATTAACAGAAATAGCGATTTTACAAGTATGGAGGTTTGACCAATATTTTTTAAAAAAAATGAGCTTTGTGTTGTTCCAATTTTCTCTGTATGTAAAGCGCCATTGTTTCTCCTTAAACCGTGCTTTTATTGTGGAAGTAAACCCAATTCTTTTCTGATTAAAATCCCACTTGTTTGAAAGTTAACCACACATTTTTGCAGGTGAAATGGGATGATAACGGGATTTAAATCCAATGACCATCATTGAAATCCCGCTAATGAAAATCCCATCAGCACGATGTTTCATACTTGGGTTTGTCTTGACATGGGGTACCTTAAAAATCCAATGGATTATCATGGTTATCATCATTTGTTCCCTTCTAACTACCATTTTGAAATATACTTTGTTTTTGGACAAATCCACATGCATTATTCATTGTTTCAATTCCCTTTTTTTGATCATTTTTGATGGTAACTAATTGAACAATTTGTTTAATAGTTTTCCGATGTTGCACAATGTAACCTAACGCATTTTTTTATGGCTAAACTACCACCAGATGTCATAGATAATTTCCGATAATTCTATAGTTAAACTCCGCTGTTTTGTATTGCACCCACAATGTTTCATAGTAAAACCACCATGTAAAACCCATGGTTCATAGTTCAACAACTTCATTTCATGCTTCTAAAACCCCATGTTTCTCTATTTTTTCACCCAGCATGGTCCGGCCTTGCTGGTCTTGGTAATGGCCTCTTTCATCTCCTCCATGACCTGTGCGACCTGCACAGGCACCTCCTCCACGAAATTGTCCTGGTCAACTGGCAACGGCGGCGGACTTTTTGGGACCTCGGGACTGAAATTGGGGGGTGATTTCTTGGGATGATATTTATGGGATTTATGGGATTTATATCATGGATTTTTGGATAGGATTTGTTGGGATTTATATCATGGATTCATTTAAGTTGGGATGATTTAACATGATAAACAAGCAACAAGTTATGGGATTTGACCATGAGTTTGGCATTGTGATGGAATCTGAGTGGGATGGAAATATCAGGGATTTTTGGATGTCGGACGATTCATCGAGATGTTTTACCCTCTGGTCATGACCAAGAGTTTGCTATTGAAAATGGGCCCATGTATAGTTGATTTAGCTATTAAGAGAAAGATGAGTTTCCGTAGCTATGTTAGTTTACCAGAGACTAATCCATATTGCGTGGATGTAACCAAGCAAAAAAGGAATGAATGAGTAGTCAGATTTCTTCATTGCAACCAAAGATTGGGATTTCTTTTTCATCGGATATGTTTGATGCGTTGTGCATTCTATTAGGATATCTTGTGGAGTTTTTATTACCATCTGGTTATGACTAACATAGCCATGGAAAATCCCCAAAATAAATGGAGGTTTCTAGCTGGGAAAATCATCTATTTCTATGGTCCATCTATACCATGGCTATGTTAAATAACCAAATGGTAATAGGTCTGATAGGTCTAGTCTGGGGTCTGGGAGGATCATCCCACGAATGTTTCATCATCAATTTTGGTGATGTGGAATTTGTAGCCCCATGAATTTATAGATGTGGAGAGTTGGTATAGAAAGTGCCATAAAATTAGCCATTAAATTGGAGTTCCGATCCGGAGAGCCACCCAAAAGTCGGATTCGAGTCGGTTTCGGGTTTCGGGTTTCGGGTTTCGGGTTTCGTCGATTGAAACCAACTTTCGCTGTCGGTTTCGGCTTTCGGGTTTCGGGTTTCGTCGCTTGAAACCAACTTTCGCTGTCGGGTTTCGGGTTTCGGGTTTCGGGTTTCGATCGGTCCATGGGGAAGGAAAGTCTTCAGAGTCGGTTTCGGGTTTCGGGTTTCGGGTTTCAATCGGTCCTGGCGAAAGTAAGTCTTCAGAGTCGGTTTCGGGTTTCGGGTTTCGGGTTTCGATCGGTCCTGTTAAGTCTTCAGAGTCGGTTTCGGGTTTCGGGTTTCGGGTTTCGATCGGTCCTGGGGAAGGTATAAGTCTTCAGAGTCGGTTTCGGGTTTCGGGTTTCGGGTTTCGCAGTTCGAAACCAACTTTAACAGTCGGTTTCGGGTTTCGGGTTTCGGTTTCGGGTTTCGCTGGTCGAAACCAACTCTGCAGACCTCTCTCCGGATCACGTCTCTTAAATTGCTGTGTTATCCCATCTATCAATATAAATTGCTTATAAGATGTTATAACTTATAAACGTTATAACATGTTCGCTGCAAACCCTACGTTTGACCGTGCCGGAAGTCAACTGATCTCTACGTTTCACCGTGCCGGAAGTCAACTGAAGTTCAGAGGGGTGGGGGATCTGATCCCTCATGAAGAGAAGTGGAAGTTGATAAACCATTCAACAAGTTTGTTCAGAGGGGGTGGGGGATTTGAAAGCCTTATGAAGATTAGATTCCCCAGAAAGCGTCCCTGATTAAACTTACGGATGTTTTAGCCGGATATCAGGATTGTTTGAAAGCAGCTACAGTCCTTACTTGTGTCGCCAGAGAGTAGCGTGTTTGGAGGCTGTAGGTCATGTTTGATTTAGATAGTAGAGGAGAAATCTTGTGGGTTATGGTGGAACGTGGGGTTTGGCGCCAACATGTTAAACATGTTATAACTCATATGGTCTGGTTGGTGGTTTCAACCCCTCTGAAAAATGATGGAGTTCGTCAGTTGGGATGATTATTCCCAAATTTCCCAAGATATGGGAAAATAACAGTCATGTTCCAAGCCACCAACCAGTGGCTATTCAGTCATTCACCACTGATGATCCATGGGGTGACCCTCCAAGTATTGTACATCCCCGGGAGAGGCATCCATGGCAGGTCTGACGGTGTCCTTTTGCTCATGACGCAGGTCCGACAATAGCCTTAATGAAGCTGGAACTGGATGATGGAGAAGATACCCTCTGGTAAACTAACATAGCTGTGGAAAATCACCATCTTTATTTAGTAGGTAAATCAACTATATACAGGCCATGTTTGATAGCTATGTTAAATTAGCAGAGGGTAAATAGAAATGAATATCCCCCCAAGAGCAATGATTATAATACGAATATCATGGGAATATCATCAAGAATATGGGGGACACTTGCAGTTCCTGAATAAAACATGTCCATTGAATTCACACAAACGGCTTGCATGTGAGATATGTGAGCTTTTGAACATCCGACACTCAATCACTCAACTGTCATATCGACATCGTCTCGAGCCATGAGCAAAAATAAAAAACTATTCCATCCAATTTTACTGTTTATATATAGTAAATAGCCCTATTATAGGTTTGTTCATAATCCCCAATAAACATCAATAAACCAGGTTAGCATCACCTCACTGACCCATCGTATTTTTAGTGGCTCTCCCATGGGCTACCTACATCTACATGCCGTCCCGAAGCGTCGAAAGGTCAAAGGTGGGATACCAATGCACCAAAAGATGGTCATGATCAGAAACCATCCAATGAAATTATCCAAAAAAAATGGAAAAAATAAATGGGGGGAAAAAAAACACATTAAATAAAACCATCTCCAAATCGATTTCACTCCAACATTTTGAACAAATCCGTAGAAATCTTCGATGTTCTCATGGTCGTTCTTGGCCGAGGTGCATGTTTCCCCGAAGGCACATGCCCTTGACGTCCTTGACCAAGCCTGGAGGGTTGACTTGACTTTTGACCTGAAGATAAAATATGACTTTTGACCTGAAGATAAAATAGCCATGTTCATGAGAAAATGATGAGAACATCATTGAACTAAACGGGAATATCATGGGAATAAGAATCGTTTGGGTAGATGGGCTTACATATTAGAGGTAAAACGATTTGTTTTACCCCAATGAAAAGGCTATGATTTACCCTTGCGTAAACTAAGACTTCAATGTGGAGTGGCATAAAAACCCACCATGTAAACCTTTGTTAAGCAGCCCAACAAGCTAAGCTATCATTTCCCCACCATTTCCCCACCATTTCCCCACCATTTCCCCACCATTTCCCCACCATTTCCCCACCATTTCCCCACCATTTCCCCACCATTTCCCCACCATTTCCGAAGGGGAAAATCCCCTATGGGCGATTTTCCACGTGGCGATTTTTACCGTTCCGGCAAGTTGCTGGTGTCGATGCCCAGGCTGGCCTGCTTCGAGAACGGACGGAGAACGGACGTCATGCGGAAACACGTCACGAAATGAGGAGATCATGGGAATATCATATAATGGCACTATGACGGCCAGCTGGGGGATTTTCCAGCTTCCATTCGTTTCATTCGCAGGTAGAAACAATGGAAGGATCTAACGATTATCTCATGTGGCTAAACAATCATAAACCAACCATGACTGGGAATGGTTTATACCACCTATTTATGGTGATTTGGGGAGATGATTTATTAATAGTTATTATGGTTTTACCCACATTGCTCCCATATCTATATATATAGATATATATTGCCTATACAGGAACATCATCCATGAAACCACCAAAATCCAAAGCCAGCCTTCCAGCCACTCCCAATAAACCCATGTAAACCCTTGCCGTCCCATGAGAGTTTGCACCACTCCATCCTCATCCCCAATCACCCCAATCACTCCAATTCTCTAATCTGGTAGACCACAATAATGATGGTTGGGAAAGCCGTTGCTTGAAATTCTACGAACATCTCATCATAACAAAAAGTCAGCATCCCCAGACCATGCATGATTGACCAATTCTCTGATAATATATCCATTGCCTCATCTCATTTCTCTACCAGTGACATCCGGTGAAATCCCGGAAACCCAGCCCCAATGCCCAACCCGCAGCTCGTATCATGGGATTTCATGTGTTTTTGCTCTCCAAATTACATAATTAATCCCATCGTTTCCTTCCATTGCCAACCACCCCAAGGCCTCCAAATGCACAACCAACCCTTCCCCAATGACAACCCTTGCTTGGAAGGGGAAAGATAAATAAAAAATGTCAATTCTCTTCCCGTAATCGCAACCAACCCATCCCAATTCCCATACTTGGGGGATCGCTTGGGATTGATAGGAATAACCATGGTGACATATACATATAATATATATATATATATCCCTTCATAGCCCAATAGTGTATACAATGTATATATATATTATTGTGTTTTCTTATTGTTATAGTTATTACACCTATTATTAGTGTTATTCTATTATATATAATTATTATGATTATCACATTTCATCCCATATGTTCGCATTATGATTCCCATATGTTCCATTTCATGACTTGCTGGTTCACTTCAGATAGTAAGAGGGTCTACAAAAACTGTTACAAGTGAAGCAAGTAGGGCAATGTATCACTGGGGTTATACCATGTTATACCCCACTATTACCCCACTTACTATCTGAAGTGAACCACTTAAACAATATATTTAGGCAGTATGCATTGCTATCTCCTCCACAACTAGAGTTATAAGCCACTTACTTGAAGTGAAGTGAACCACCAATGCCTTCCCCAATGCCTTCTTGGGGGGTGCAGTCCCACTTATAAATGGATATATAACCAAAATTATAGGGGTTATATTCCGACTTATAAAGGTTAAGAACCACCATGGCTATAGCTATAACGGCTATAACCATGAAAGTCACACCAAACTTCACCTCCAAATCAATCATTGATGATCATCCCATAGTTTCCCCATAGTTTTCAATGAAATCCCGAGTTGTTTTGCTATTTTTTTTTGCTATAGTCACCATTTACATCCCATTAAATTCATGAAATAACCATTTCTCCTATGGTTTTCCTACCATTTTTCCATCTTTTTCCCATCTCTTCCCTTACCACCTCCGCTTCATCCAGCGTCACCACGCCGTTCTGCGCATCCTTCTCCGCCTTGGCCGCCACCGCAGCTGCGCGTCGCTCCTCCAGGTCGAGTTCCTTCGCCTGGCGACCGGCAGGAGATCCCGGGAAAATCCTCTGGAAAATCCTGGGATTTTACGGTGGATCAACATGGAAATTGCCATGATTTCTATTGATCTCTGGTGGAAATCGCCATGGTTTCTCTTTGATAAAAATATTGGCTAAAAACCGATGATGATTATGGCCCAGGATAAAAATGATCAAACCCCTTAAGCTGTACTTGTGATGTTAATATTTAAACTATAATTCTTCAGTATTTTGGGAGGTAAGTTCTCGATTGCAGTAATCAGTAATGTCAGGGGTTGGGATTAATTGCAGTGTCATTACCAAATTAGGGAGATCAAATCTTCCCTTCCCTTGCCACTTTTTTTCCATGGCCACTAAATCATAAACCATCATGAACCATTTACCTAAAGTGTACCTAAACATTGATCCGCTGTATAATCACTGGTTAAACCATGTGAAAAATCTTGTAATTTTCCTCCGTGAAATCACTGATTTCATTCCTCTAATGGTTTCATCAATTTACTTCACGTCGTATTTCCACATGAGCCATGAAGAATCCCACTCTCCGATCTCATTCGAGTGTTCCCGGAACAATGTGTTGCTAAATATAAATGACTACTTCCTGGTATTGCTGACGACAGAATCGGCAAACAACCATATGGGGGTTTCCGTAAATGGGTGTACCCCCACATGGATGGTTTATAATATAATGGAAATACCCATTAAAATTGATGATTTGGGGGTGCCCCTATGACTTGGGAAACCTCCATATTGTTGGTACAACCGCCATAACTAACTATCCAGGGATATCCAGGGTGTGGCTCACAGTCGACTCGTTGCTGTGAAATCTGCGAAACCCTCAATCTTAACCCCTCGAGTTGTTTCGAATTCATATGTTGGCCTCATCTTCCCATTCATTCATCCATTTCATTTCATTTCGGATGGGGCCCATCCTGTTTTTGGCCATGCTTTATGGTAGATTTTTTACGAACTAGATATAACTATGCTATTCATGGGCTTTATAAACCAACGTTCACATCACTAGGCCCCATCCTGCCCAAAAAAACCCAAAAAGGGGATCCATCGGATGATCCGATCGCCGAGCTCGCCGATCCTCCTTCTCTTGCCGCAGTTGTTGGCGCTGCCGGGCAGCGGCCACCAGCTGTTGATTGGAGACATTCTTGGACTCCTCAGGAACTGGATGTTTTGATGTTGTTGTTTTTTTCTGAACTTCGGATTTCATGTTGGAGATTTAGTTTAAATGATTTCATGGTATTAATATGTATTAATGAGCTGTGTCCAGCTCAGGTCATCCGGTTATGGAGTTTTTTGGACCTTTTGGACGTGGCTCAGTGGCCTCCATGGCATCCCCACAGCAGTGGATCGTCCCAATGGGAAAAAAAAGCTCACCATTTGACCGACAAAAAATACCCGGCCTGGTCCACTTTCACATCACGAACTGGAAAGATCCACCATGTTTCATGGGAAGATTCACGAACTAAATGGTGATTTTCCATAGTGATGTAACAAATTACCAGAGGGTAAAGATACCTCCTATACCATACCATGCACCACCGCAAGAGACAGCGCTAATATAAAACTTTACATTGACCAACCTCACAATGTGCCCTTTTAAGCTGAATCTCAACAGCCAAATCCCAAAATACGATTCATTTTTCCAATGCGGTAAAGCATTGAAGTGGGGAAGCATGGCCTCCAGATTCTGCCCCCCACCACACATGGTGCTGGTATATTTACCTACATTGGGTTCGATGTTTCGGGTAAATGTACGTCACAGATGGTGGGATTTAGGTTATGAATGTGGCAAACCCACTGCCAAACTGTTCAACTGTTCGACCATTCGCATCCATTCGCATGTTTATCAGAATGGGGCTATAAACATCTATTAGAACTTTAGAGCCGTCCAAAATGGGAAGCTTGCTTCACATTTTACAGCACACCTTCGCCACATTACTGTTGATTTTCCCATATATTTTTTTCGAAAAAGGTGACACAAAAAAAACACACCGAGAGGCCGCGATGATTTGGGACATGTTCTCGACGTCGGTGATTCTGATCGACCTGGACGGGGCTCAAAACACGACCCAACTTTTCATCATGAGGATTTTTCAGCACCCCGCTGGGGATTTCTCATGATTGAAATGATTGAAATGTTTAACCGTTCCATTTTTGTTGATCACCACATGATGACATGATGATCGAAACCACCCAATGATTGCAATTTAAATTGCAATGTACCCACTAATGTTTTTTGTCTATATACCATCCAGTAGTTAGTGGCACGTTAGAGATTCTTTTTTTTGCATGGAGAAGCCATCTACAATACGGAGGATCTTGGATATCTTGGATCAAGATCTTACATTGCCGAAGGGTGAGCAGCATCATCATTTCGTATTGTTGGTTGTCTTAAATCCAGATATTTGAAACCCACCGCATCCACCTGCAAAACTAGTGGGGGATTGGTCGTCCACAATCGACACACCAAGCAACATGAGAAACGCCAAGCTAAAGCTAAACCTCCGGTGTGCTTTGTTCAAAGGGATACATTATCTGGCCTGCATTTAAGATAGGCAAAAAGGCCATAGGAATATTCTGAAATATCTTGGTCGGACCCATTTCCGTCTGAATCTAGCTGTAAAGAGAATGTGACAAACAACAATGGGTTCGGACAGGTACTTCGTTGAGATATCAAATATCAACTAACCGGCTTGTGATTGTTGTTCCACATATAGACAACTGTCAAATATACGTTGCCAGTTGCCAGCATGCCCGATATGTAACCATCCATGTGGTGCAGTCAAAGGCTTCCATGTCATGCGTTTGCAAGATCATGATTTCGACCATACAGTATTAAAGGCAAAATTATGGCAATACTTATGTCTAGCAATTTACGCGTGTATTTAAATACACATAATGCCATGGTCAAGTCTCTTGTTTTCCAGCAAGACATAGACATAAACAAATAACATCACTAGTGTTTGGCTGGCGCAAAAAGATGCCAAGCAATTGCAGTACACACTGGACACGCCATTTTTGCATACCATATACATAGCCTGCGCAAGTGAAATTCGGCATTCATACCCAGCTTGCAGTCCAAAGGCAAACAATCAAATATTGACATAGGTGTACATAGGGTGTATATGTGCTTCTGCTCATAGTACAAGGATCCATCGTGACAAGTTTTCACGCCCACACGCGCCTTCAACATCCTTCAACCATTTACATCTGGAAGGTGCTTCAATATATGTAGCAAATGTAGTGTGTGGACGCAAGAAATCAAGGAATATCAGAGACCAAAACCTATCCTTCATGTATGGACAGTGAACACATACAATCAACATAGACTTCTTATATTCAAAGACTTGGTATGAGATAATGTACGCTCAATTCATGGTATTTGTGTATATATCGGTATCGTTTGGAATCCACACAACTGTTCTGGCCCAGTATGCAGGGTAAAATTAGAACTAGGAGCGACACAAAATACCAGTTTGATGTATACTGTACCTATGTTGGATTTACTTAGGAATTATCTTTCTCATTGTTCCACAAACAGTACTGTATGTGTTTTTTGCTTCAATATGTTTACCACAACTTCCAGGAACTTGCAAAACTCCAACTGTATGTATAATTACATACTTTTCCTGCAGTCAAAGTGGTGGCCCCCAATTATCTATCAGTTTGGTTGTAAGCCCATCAACTATAGAGTATAGATGCACCTGCCACAAATCAAAGTTAAGATACTTTCTTATAAACCAACTTAGCTAACCATGGGGACGGTGATCATAGGTATCAGTTCCACAAAGCCGAAGCACGTTCTTAGGTTTGCTGAACATACGTTTGCTTGCTCTTTGCCTCTTTGTCTGCGAGGCACAAAACGACTGAATCGCTCCACTGAAATATGCTTCAAAAAATCAATTAGGCGTTTTTACCAAAAAAAATAGGCTGCATTTAACATAGTCCCTGTTGCCAGCATGGGGTCTATCGTACCCCATCCCTGCAACAGTCCGGAGCGCTCCCGAGAGTTGCAAGCCCATCCTGTCCTATGTTAACAGCTCATTGAAAATATTCCGATGGGCTGGCAACAGTCAAAAAAGCACGCGTCGCAGAAAGTTGCGGATGGACTGGCAAAGGTCCGGAGCGCTCCCGAGAGTTGCCAGGACGGGGTCTATCGTACCCCCCTCTGGCAACAGGGACTATGTTAAATGCAGCTTCTTTTTTTGGTCAAAAATCTAATTTTCAAAAAATATAATAATCTTAAAACAGTCCGGAGCGCTCCCGAATGTGAAGCTTTTGTAATATCGTATGCGCACCTTTTTGAAACAGGCTGAAGCGCTCCCCAAGGTGGACATTGTCCATCATTGAAACAGTCCGTAGCGCTCCCAAATGCTACAAACGGTGAACCTATATTCTTGACAACAGTCTGGAGCCTTCTCGAATGCTATAAACAAACCCCTAAAACAATCCGAAGCGCTCCCGAGTGCCATAAAATGCATTAAAACGGTCCGGAATGTGTCGCAGAACCAATTCTTTGAAGAGTCCAGAGACATACACCCCCTTGCCTTCAAAAAATGAACACTGAATATCTAGCAAATAACAAAAAATGCCTCAGTTGCCTACCTTTTTTATAGGATCTGATCAAAACTTATCAAGCCAGCAACCCTGGAGTATATTGGAAAGCTCGCGCAAGCAGTATGCAAGATGGTCCGGCTAAACCCTTTTCTTGGGTTGTCGAACAGGAAAAATGAAGAGAAATCAAACCACATGATGTAGATTTGTACCAAGCAAAAGGTAATAAAGCAACTACAATAACTACAACACGTAATTAGGAACAGATTATCTTTAAATAATCCCAAGGCTCTAAAACCTACCAAGGCACACAAGATCCGATTTGACAGAAATGCCTATCCAACCAAATATGACAGTGGATGGCCAAAGTTGTGCATTTGTCTCTGTTATTTAAATTATTATATTCATGAATGCTTTGTTCAGCGTGTTTTCATTAGATCCTTTGCTGCAAGTACGATGCCGCGCTGGGGGTCTTAGCAAAAACGCATTTTGTGATACACCGCCTGCTGCAGAACTAGGGAAGGACATTTAGGGTATCATATTTGTGTCCAGCAGTGCTGGTAGTTCAAGAAGAGAGGTAAACACATATTGCATCATATTGCTACGTGCTTAATAAGCAGGCGGGAGTCGAACATGTATTTTGCTGCCTCCGACCGAAAATGTCTTTTGCTGCCACCCCCCTTCAACCCAGTGCGGAGGTGGATGGGTCATGGGGGTAAGATACATTTGGGTCATAGGAATGAGATAGGAGACATGCCAATATGGATGTATCAGGCTATGACAATAGTCTGCAATTTGACAAACAAATATCGAAAAATCAAAATAAAAAACGTCGCCCCTAACATGGCAGATGGATATATGATATGGTTCTATAATAATTCGGCATGACATCATGTTGATACATAATAGTGGCTATATAAGATTGAGAGATCCCTGCCATCAAATTACAGATTATATATTATATAAAATATTACCATGTCCTATTTGCCTGCCTTAAAGGCAGGCCAGTTATGAATTGTATATAGTGTAGAATCTGGCTAATCTTATGCAAAAAGTAGAATTCTAGCTGGTTAGTATGTATCCCCATTATCCCGTTTATATCTAGGTATTCCGTTCCCCAACAAAAAATCCAAAAAAATACAACAATGCTATTCCCAAAAATAGTTGTTTCACCAAAAATCTAGTTGGTCTCCCAACAAAAACTATATATATTGTATTTTACCAGGTCAACCGACAATGGGGAAATACTACAACAAATCCGCTAAGCTCTCAGCTCTTTTTGAACCAACGCTACAGAGTAGATCGATGATATATACACTACATGGTTTTACTGCAGGAGTTTTTACACCCCCCTCGGGCGAGCAGGGACGACTGCGGAGAACGAATAACCCAGAAAAGCATACCCTCGCGGGTAGCCAAATTTCTTTAGTTGGTTTTGAACATTTTGTGCAGTCTTTCAAAGGTCCCTATAAAAAGCTCAAGCCCATAAAACCCAGCGCAGCTTTGCAAGGAAGGCACATTACCATGCCGCATCTTGCGCTATGCTACAAAAGAAAATCATCGTCTACCTGCGGTTCCAATAGATCCACCGGCCGCCGGCCTCGTCACGGTAATACCAAGCCCCACGCCAGAAACTCCATTCTCGGCGTGCACCATAGTGATCACGATTCCAACTCCAAGAGGCATCCGGGCGACCGGAGCTTGCAGCCTTTGATGTGACTCCTGTGCTTGCTGCTTTTGCAGTGGGCGGTGTCTCAGGCTCCAAGAATGGTCGTGTTCCTGCTTTGGATGTTGGTGGTTCGGGTGCAAGAAATGGTGCATTGTTGGGATCAACTGGGGCATCATCGTGCGAGGCGTCTGCGCGAGCAGAGCTTGAGGCGGCTGTGTCGGCATGTGTGGTGGCGGATGCATCAGCTTCGGCTTTGCGCTTTCGCTCAGCAGTGGGCGCGACCGTGGGGTCGGCCTTATGACCTCCAGGACCTCCAGCCTTTGCAGCGGCGCTCTGCTTCTCTTTGCGTTCAAGGTTACCCCGAACCAATGGAAGGTTTTCCTCATACACCTTTTCGAGGAATTCAAGAGTGCCATCAAAAGGAACTTGGACAGTGCCCTTCCAGGTCAACAGGCCACGGTATGCGCCACGACGGCCGATGTAGCTGACATATTCATCCTCTGTAAAAACGTGGCGGCCGAACATGAAACCCCAGACCTTTTTCCATGTTTTTCGGAACTCAACTGGGAACCCATCCACGCCTCGCGGCTGTGACATGAAAATCAGCTTGGATAAGCAGCTTTCATTTTGGGCATTGGCGGCGACGCCAGCCGAGACCTGAGCTCTAGTCCTTGGGGGATCGGGGAGGTTGCCGTATGCAAACATATCATCAAAGATACAATCCTGCAGGCCCTTCCCCTCACCGTGGATGCGGTCGCAAAAAGTGACATCGCTGGCGAATCTGTCTTCCACATCCTCATATCCCAGCGCTTTTGCACGACGA